CCCCAAAACCCCAAAACCCCAAAACCCCAAAACCCCTTTTGATCTCAAAATTATAGGAAACTCAAGTTATTATAATAAATTGATTGTCACCTATGGAGCCAAAGCAAGTAAAATTAAGACCCTCTTTGATTCCAAAACTAAACCCAATCAAGGAGCAATCTTCCAAGAAGAGGAAGATTGTTTCAAAAGTGTTAGTAAAGGGACAGACAAGGTCACAAGCCACAATCCAGAAGTTCTTCAACACTAACTACAAAGTTTCTGATTCTAACAGAGACTCCCAGAATAAGAGAGTTAGTGTAAACTCAGGGACTATTGCTACTACGACTAGTACTAACAAATAAAATTCAGAATTTTAGCAGTATTGGAAGCTTTGGAGATCGGAAATAATAGTAAGCCTAACTTCAGGATGCCTAAAATTTATGAAATCGAGGTATCTCCTGAGAAGCACCAAGGGCAGACTTCATTATCACCCGAGTCTGATTATGTCAACCTTGACTCTGTCCAGAGAATGAATCCACCCTCTCAAGCTGAGTAAGTGTCCTTCGCAATGATCTATAGCAATATGGGAAAGATCTTCCAAGATCATAACAATCAAGCTGTGCCACTGGCCAAAGCCTTTTCGAAGAATGCTGAAAGTAATAAGCCCTCACAGAAGTATCTGGAGAAGATTCGCTCTACAAAATAAGCTGAATACAAATCAGTTTGGCTCTGCAGCCAAGATACCTACTAAATTAACATCCAGGGGTCCCCGTCAGACTCATTTTAGCGAGAAAAGTTCCACCCAGAGATCTCCGAAGGAAGGCAAGACAATGAAGGGGATGAAAAAGCAACTAGAAAAACTACATAATAAGTACAGGAAGAACCAAACTCACAAGAATTGGTGCAAACGTAAATATCTGCTCTAATCTATAGAAGAGAAGAACTCACGTGGAATTGAGGAAGCCCCCAAGGACAGTGTCAATCCTCCAGCTGGGATTCAACAAAGAAGTATGTTTTCAAAGAAAATGTGTAGAATAAAATGCTTCTCAGGCAGCAATTTCCCAAGATAGTTAGAAAACCAGAATCTTGTTTGCCTTATGAGAGGGATAATTTGATCAAAGTAACAGAAGTTCCAGCCCACCGGGCTAGAACTTCTGTGAGTTCATCTAAAAATGGGAATCTGAACCTCAAACCAAATCTTGCTGGTATGAATTCTTCAAATTTTGTTCTGATTTATTAAATAGAAATTTTAGAGAAATCTAAAATCAATAACTTACTGAAGAATCAAGAGAATTTGGCTCAGATTCAAAACAAGATTAGGCAAAATAACATCCAGAAGAATACAGATTCTTCACTTCAGGATTGACTCAAGAAGAGTAAGAATCAAAGTGTCCATCGGGACCACAACCGAGCAGCCACTCAGAGTGAGAAGAAAGAGCATCGGTAAGTTTTGGTACTTGACCATAGTCTACCAAGGTTCATCAACCCTATTGACAAGAGTCAGGATAATTATGGAAGGAAGTACAAGAACTTATCAGCTAATTCACAGTGCTCCGTGTTGAATAATCATTCTAATTCAGCTAGCCCTGATAATTGCAAGAGCAAGAAACTCAGGCAAGCTCAGTTTGAGCTGAATAAATTGAAGGAAGAAATCACTAAAAAGAATATTGAAGTCCTGGCTATTACAAAAGAACTTCAAAAATGGGAAAATAAAGGCAACCCGAATGATTACGAAATGCCTATTGGGAATATGAAGAGAAAGAGTAGCCTAAGCCCTTATTTTAAGGAAAAATTGGCTGGCAACCACGATTCAAAGGATTTTAGGTTTAATACTTTGAAGAATGGAAAAATAACGACAAAACCAAGCTTGAAAGTCAACCATCAGCATAAGATTGGCCTGTTTGCTAAGAACTTGAAAGTGGTTCAAGAAGAACAATGTATTGCTGACTCTGAATACAAGTAAGCTGTCCTTATAAGATCTAGTAGCGGTGCAAAGTGGAAGAATCCACATCACAAAGCTAATCTATCAACTCTATATCAGCATAAACTATCACCTAAGAAAGAACGCTCAAAGAAGTGTTCTCAGAACATTAGTCAGAATGTAGAGTCTAACGACTTTGAAAAGTGAAAGAATCCAGAAATCCTGCTTTCAAGGAGCAGTAGTTGTCTGGATCTGTATGGTAGTTTGATGAAGTCCAAGGACATTTGCAATAAAAATGTTATGATTGGGTCTTCTGGAACTAACAATAAAATCTCCAATAATACCAGAAACAGCCCAGATCAGCAGCATTCCTTACATAAGGACTCATCTCGGCATGGTGTAAAAGACAGGCCTAAATTTAGTAAATTTCAGGTTGGAAAGATTTCTGGGAGAAATCTTGCTACAGACATTAAGTCTCCAAGCTATGAGGGCAAGCTGAATGTGAACATCAACAGCCTAAAGATGAAGAAAATGCAGTGCCATAAGGGAAAACGTAACTTTGAGTATACTCCTAAGGGTAATTTACTTCTGTCCAACATCTATAGGCCAGGCTCATACGCAGAACTCCTGTTTAGGGATTTCATCCAAGAGTTTTTCTAGCTTGAAAGGCAAGAGTTCCCTTGCTGAAAGAGGAACTCTTGCAGTTTCAAGTACTAAATTTGATGGGTTCAGAGACGACAGTGAGATCATAATCAATCCTGAGTTTGGGAAGTCCCTCAAAGCCAGTTTGAAAGCATCAAAGCGCCGGTTGATGCTGTTTATTGATAATAACGATAGTGTTAATCCTGTGGCTGAGCGATCAAAATTTGCTGTGAAGAAGCCAAGCAAGGAAGGAAAAGGTATGCTGATTATCGTCATTCTAGGTATTGGTGGTTTCAAACTCCAACAAAGAAGCAAGAAACAGAGGTATGGCCAACAAGAGCCCGAAGGCACTGAACGCTTCAGTTTGGGCCTGAACAAGGAGGATATCGTCCAGAGTGTTGAGAAGAGCAGCTGGGAAAGCAGCCTCGGATGCATAGGAGACAGAAAACAGGATGATATTGTTCTATGAGAATTCGAGCCTCTTCCAAAATACTTCAGACATAAAGACACGTAAAAGTGAACTTGGGCTAATTTTTATGTATTTTTGGACATTTTTAAGAGTCTAAAACCACTTCTTAGATATCTAGAGCGATGTAGAGCTTGAATTCGGTAGGTTGAAAATCTATCTTTGGTGTGGATAATAGGGATTTAAAAGTTTCAACAGAAATTTTTAATAAGGGGTTTTGGGGTTTTGGGGTTTTGGGGTTTTGGGGTTTTGGGG